CACATATCTGAATTTTAAAGCTTTATCTATTTGAGGTTAAAAATATAGAGTATCATTGAAGAAAGTTGATTTAACCTCCAAGGTCGTGGTGAGGCGCAGTTTCAAGGTCATCAGTGAATGGCCTGAGAAAAATTGAAGTTTTATCTTCAGAAAGATCGATGAACTCCTTTCAAACAAGGTTTTTTTACGATGACCTTGACGAGGATGTTTAAGATCAAAATAATTTACACACAAAGTCAAATCTGAATTTTTCAGCTTTATCTGTTTGAGATTAAAAATATGGAGTATAATTAAAGATAATTGATTTGACTTTCAAGGTCGTGGTGAAGCTCAGTTTCAAGGTCATCGGTGAATAAGTTGAGAAGGAAATGAGGATTTGTATTTACAAAGATCCATGCACTCCTTTGAACCAAGGTTTTTTATGATGACCTTGATGAGGAAGTTTAAGGTCAACATAATTTCCATACGAGGTCATAACTGCACTATTTAGCTCTATACATTTTCGGGGTCGAAAGTTTCGGATCATATTAAAAAATGGCTTGACCTTGATTTGATCTTCAAAGTCAAAGTGAAGGGCACCACTGGATAGCTAGTAAAACATATTATATCCCTACTGTTTTATTATACTACCTTTAATATTCTCAAATACCTTGCCATTCCGGGTCTTGGATCACTATGTATACTGTCGACCACAGCCTTGTGGCGTAAATGTTGCCGGGAGTTATGGTTGCGGAATTGAGGAATTTTGAGAGTATGGAATTTTACGGATAATTACGTGAAGTGATCTTAGGGAGCTTGATGCCATGATAAGGAGTAAACAATTTCCTTCAAAAGGAAAATAAAGCTTGTTTTTATTACTTCTAAGGGAAACTTGGAGACGCTAGGGTGTACGTGGTCTGTAAATTAAGTAGAGATCAATTTTTTAAAATTCTTCGATTTAAATATAATTGCAATTGTATATTTTCACCCTCAAAATAACTTCTTTCTGAAGTCACACAGTGCTGTAGATGTGCTGTAGATGGTTCTTCAACTCCTCATTGCAGTGCTGGAACTCCGATACTGGAATAGCCTGGTCCGTTACAGCCGTTTGAGCATTTTCGAGAGTCCCAAAATGGGTTCCCTTGAGGTGATTTTTCAATTATTTCGGGGAGAGAAAAAAGTCACAAGGGCTCAAGTCGGGCAAATAACGAGGCTGAGGAGAAACATGAATGTTTTTAATGTCCAAAAACTCGCTTATTGACATTGCTGTGTGACTAGGAGCATTATAGTGCTGCTACACCCAGTTGTTCTTGATCTTATGAATAGTTTTGTGTGTCCAATTTAACTCTTCCCCAATCATTCTGTCTGTCAACCGTCGATTTGAACGCACAACATTCCGGATTCTGTCGATTACAGTCGTTCGAGTGTTTTCGAGTATCCCAAAATGATTTCGCTTGAGTGATTTTTCAACTTTGGGAAGAGAAAAAGACTCATTACTTAATTCACAGACCTGGTATACCAATATGACGGGCGCATTCGCAAGACCAGTCCTTTACAATGTTTAATTGTGTTCTGGTAATCAGAAAGTTTATATTCTAGGATTGTTCCTTACACCTGAGGAGTTTTACAAACGCCTTGACGACATGAACGTGTTAATTGTAGACGTTCGACAAACTAACGAATACGATCAAACTAGAATCAAGAAAAAAATGCAGGAGGCATGATTAATATTCCACCCGAACTCATTCAACCAGGGTAAGTGAAGATGAGAAGTGAAAAATTGCATAACAAATTTCGAGGAAACTTAACCGATCTCCAAAATTCCACATATCGTGTGCAAGCATCTTTCAGCATTCTGTAATTAGCTAAATTTTAATTTCAGCCTTTTCGCAAATACGCTAGGGCTTAAATTGCCACCAGTGACCTGTGTAATCTGGGATAAGCGAGATAGCTTCGACTGCATTGTCATTTTGGATTATGACACAACAAAGTTTACCTATGGATTGTCGAAATTACACTGACTACGCATATTCATAACTGAGGTATGTTTTAGCATCAATTAACATATTCTGAGAATACGAAATCCTATCCGTAATTACGAGACAAGCTGGGGGGGTGATCTTACCTTGGAACGTAGATGTGATTATGAATAAATAATCTTCATCGAAATAATGATTTCAGTCAATTGGGTATGTTTCCAAAGTTAAACGACCATAATGAGTACTCAACTAGGAATTCGCTTGTCCTGCAGATTCCTGCTCATAGACTGTCGAGAACAGAATTCAGCCCAAATCAAATGTGTATGAGGCTGTTCAATAAATTGCCAAACACTTTTAAAAATCTTGCCAGTGGCATTATTAGACATAAACTTTAAAGCTCGATTAAGACGCAAAGGTACTATTATATACGTTATACTATATACATTTTCACTGTAGCCATATTTTATTTGTGTTTTGTATTTTATTTACTTATTATTCATTGATATATTGTTAACTTGGCCAATCCTTATTTTAATATGTATTGTGTTGTATTTCTTTGCTCATTGTTTTTGTGTGCTGTCCTATATTTCATAGGTATGGTATATTGTTTTTGGTTTTATCTATCTATTTTTGGAATGCTTTTGATACTTTTCAAGATAGAGTACCTTTACCACTGATGATTTCATGATAAATGATCTACAGAACCAATAAAGATTATTATTATTATTATTATTATTATTATATGAAACATTTTCACATTTCTTTGACGTTTCGGTTTATTTTTAACTAAACTAAATGGTCTGAGTATCTGAGCAAGAATCTATCTTCATTAATGTTTCGTAAGTTTCTCATCTCAGTAACTGCAGCATTAATTTTGATTATTTTGTGTGTACTGTTATATACTCAGAGATAAAGAAAATAGACAGCCAGGAAAAATGAGTGTATTGAATGAAATTTTGTATACAGTTAGACAGGGCAAAGGGGGAGGTATCTGTTTACAATAAGCCAGCCGCTAAGGCAGAAGCCTAAATGCCACGATGAGCTTAAAGAAACTTTGTTAGTCCAATTCTTGAAACTGCCTAAGGTTAGTAGAACTAGGAAAAGTTCTTCTCAGGTGGATGTTCAACAATTTTCGATACCCTGGAGACAAAGAAGCGGTCGTATCGGTCAGTTCAGTAATACGAAGCTCGATCCGGTTAGGATGGGAGAGGCCGGAGTCAGGCGGGTCCTGTCTGGCAGGCACATCGCTCCGGCCGCATCATGGAGGAGAGCTCTGGGAGCAAATCCCATAAGAATGTGAGCAGTACTAGAGGCTAGGTCTTGTCTGGGCCTTATACAGAGTGAGGAGGTCTTGAGGAGAAAAGTACTTATTAGCCCTAAACAAATGGTCTAGCTTTTTCTCAACAATTGCCGGCTATAACGAGATGTTTTCGTGCCACAATCAAGTCCTCTGTGATCTGAACTCTGACCATCCGAAATGAACGGCATTTTTGGCAGAACTGAACTGATGAATGTTAGCAAGTGCAAGACCTGTTCTTTTACCAGGAAAACGAACCCAAAAGTTTTTGCTTACACACTGGAATGTGTCAGTTTGATGCGTTGTTTAGAAGTGAGAGATCTAGGGGTGTTGTCTGATGCTAAATTAGAATTTACAGATCATATTAATACAATAGTATCATCCGCTATGAAAAGTCTCGTTTTTTTTTGTATAAGAAACTGTGAAGCATTTGGTAGTGAGACGGCACCTAAGGCTTTATACTGTACCTTGGCGCGTTCTAAGCTGGAATATGCATCAAGCGCATGGCATCCGTATTACCAAATCTATACTAGTGAAATTGAAAGTACAGAGGAGATTTATTAAATACTTGATTTTCAAATCAGATGACGTTTCTCCCAATCGTTGGTCAGATTTGAAATGCAACAGTGTCGGAGCCAAGACCGATCCCTGGGGAGCACCCGCGTTGACTTTTGGGATGAAGAGGAGAACCCGTCAGTTACTACGGATATCTTTCTGTCACCATAGAGTTTACTCCACAGTTGCGTGACGTAAGGTAGGAGGTCCTCTGTGGATCGCTGGTGCCGGAAACGATACTGCCTGTCGCTGATCAAGCCGAGACCTTCGAGGTACTCCAGAAGCTCCCGGTTTATGTACCTCTCCATCACCTTATAACAGAAAGCAAAGCTACATGTATGTAGTTGTAATGGTCGGCCTTAGATCTTTTTTTTTGAATAGGTTGGGCATGAGCAAATGTCCAGTTTTCTGGGAAAGCGGTGATCACATTTTGAAGCGGCAACGTTTTGCTATATTGCTGGATTCGCAATAATGTATGCTTCTGATGAGGTGATTTACGTCTTCTGGAGGTATACAAGAAGTTACTTTACTTTCCATCATATCCCAACATGTTTAATGGACGAAAGGTCTCGAGATCTAGTATATCAAAGAAGCAGGCAGAACGATATTAAGGTTAAAGCTTTGGCTGCCATTAAACATGATGTCAAGTCACTTCTAGCTACCATTAGGTGAACTATGACGGTATATCCAGATAATACTAGAATCCCATTTTTTGCTATCTCTTCAAACACTTGAAAACCCTGTTTCGCAACAAGATAATGGCCGTCCTCATATTGCTATAACTACAGTGGTCTACCCCCGGAATGGTCAAATTTACCTCTTTCCTTGGCCTCCTAGATCCAATTGAACATGTGTCGGTTGATCGGAAGAAGAGCTAGTGTATACTACATCTAGGTGGTCCTGGCCCAACACATTTGCGAAATCTAACGATACCGTAAATGTGTTCTATTTTCTTCGTCATTGATATTGTGAAATTGTGAATTTGTTTGAAAAACCCTAGAATTCTAATTTAACTTTTTGTTTACAGTGGGACTGCAACAGAAGCTACCGGGAGCTCCCATTTATCCTAGATGGCGGTTTAAAAGAGTTCGTTCAATGTTATCCTTCAGAAGTAGAGAATTCTGGTTGTTTGTTCGCTAAGCAAAGCTCGGAGATCGACGATTTGTTGGATATAGACTCAGTGGAATATCCTGGTTCAGCCTCAGGAGGACTTCATAGAAACCTCATGGTTGATTCGGCATATTCTATGGGCAACATAGCAAAACCTGTAGAGAGGGACTTCTCCGCAGAAGAT